AAAAAATCCAACAAAGCTGTAATAATTGAAACCTTTTATTCATGTCAGAGTCTGGAAGGATGAAAGAAAAGTTAGTGAGGTCCCAGTGTCACGCCTAGATCCTGCACATCTTGCACATAAAGTGAGAGTTCCCCCTAAAATCTACAGAGCAAAGAACAGCAAAAATAAAATATTAAACATGGCCTAGAAATGTCTTCCTAGCCAAAGGAACAGAACCAAACCTATTCAGGCACTACTGGAGAACGATGCTCCAGCTACTTCCACACAAATTGCAACCAGGGGTTTATGTAATTCACTAAGCAGATTTTCAGAAGAAATTAAGATTTTCTGATCACTTTAATGACATGAAGAATCTGCCTTTGCAGAGGTTAACACTATCATTTCCCCTCTGCTGGTGACCCGTTAATCTTCCCAGCACCACAGCAAGGTTATATGTGTAATTCTGAGCCTTTTTTATTTTCCCTGCAGAGTTTTGCAAAATTCCAGGGGCTGCATGGCATATCCTGGGGACAACAATCCCAAGGCACTATGTCAGACCATGAGTTTTACTGCAACTGTGTTTATGTAAACCCTTTCAACCCTTAAAAATTCCCAGGTGACATCAGAGGCAACAAGGGGATCAAAAGGTACAAAATATATAATACAAAATGGATTTAAGGTTCTTTCCTGTGTTGTTCCAGGAGCCAAGTCACCTCGAGCCAGCTGAAACAGATCTGAAAAGGAAGAACATCAATAATAATTAATAAAATTAATAAGAGGATATGCTTATTTGGGAACAGGTTTAAGGATTTCCACCACACTCATTTTGCTGATTAGGGGCAGGATTTGTCCCTCACTCCATTTCACCAGGCTGTGTTTGCAGAGTGGTTGAGTGTAGGCTTTTTCAAGAAGTGAAGTCAAAACTGTGCCTTTCTCTCAGGCTTCACATCTGTGCAGTTATGGGCATAACTGGAACTGGGCTCTTCAGTCTCTTGAAGGGCCTTGATTGATGTTTTGTGACAGAAAACTGCAGCTGGGAGTGAAAAACCTGCTCATTGTGATAAGAAAAAATGCTGGAAATTCCTTTTCACTGGAAAGACCAGCTTTAGCTAAAGAAAAATTAAAAATCATTGACCAAAACTCAGATTTTTTTTTTTAGAGGTTTATGGTGTTTTGGTTTTTTTAATAAGAGAAGACTGATAGTGAATTTTTCTCACGGCAGAATATAGAGATGACAGGAAAGCTGTGGAGTGTGTCCAGAACACCTGAGAGGCAGCTCAATGGTGTTAGGGACATCATGGGGACAAACAAAAATTGTTGCTTCATTAATTGGAAAACCTCCTTTTCCAGCTTCCACCCCAAGTGAATTTTCCTTCATATCCCCAAGCAGCAGCACTTACCTGCAAACAGGCCTAGAGATTATTTGCAGTAACCAGTGAATAATAAATAATTCAGATATTTAGGCAGGCACGCTGATAGACCAGAACCAAAAACCTCACCCAGAAAAAGCACTCAGAGGTAGCTGCAGAATGTTCAGGAAGGCTGCTCCAAAACTGGCAGGAACTGAAACTCTTTGTTAGGCTTCAAACATAATGTGAGTTGTGAGTAAATTTACACCTCTTTCGGGAGAAAAAAGTTGCAATTTCTGATTTATGACAAGGTATCAGCTTGAAGAAAAAGGTGCAAATATATATATATGTGTGCATATATATATATGTGTGTGTATATATATACACACACACACACAAGATTAAGCACTTCCTTCTGATTTCATTCAGGTTTTGCCCTATAACACCAAATTTTGTATTGATTTACTGTATTGTTACAGCAAACAAATTAAGGGGCGACCTAGGAATCATTAAATCAGATTTCAGGCCCATCACACAGCAGCTAAATGGGATGTCACAAGGCTTACTGGAGATGGAGAACCCCTCAGGAGGTGTTCAATAATGGTAAAGAACAAACCCACCCTGAAAATGCCTTCTGAACTCCTGGGAAAAGTTTCTGAAATGAGAGGTTGCACCCAGCCTTTTGGAAACCCTTGATTTAGAAGAAGAACAACAGAAACACCAAAGCTGCTGTGGCAAGAATCAGCGTTTTAAGGATGGGAGTGAAATGCCACCATTTAAAAACCTTGAAGGAAAGAAATAAATCTGTTTATTCTGGCTGCCTGGAACGGAGTGTTACTTGCCAGACACAAATTACTTTGCCCCCTTGCCTTGACAGTGACACTGATTATTCCTTGTGCATTTATAATTAATGCTAAGCCAAAACTCCACCACTTCAGTTCCATCTGAAAATCCAGTTTCCTGCAGATGTAAAATTGTCAAATATTGGGGTGAGGGGAAATTATACAACGTTTTAACTGCTGCAGATGAAATGTATGAGGAACAAATGTATTCATTTGTTCAATTCAGCATTATGACAGCCTGTGAAATTTATCCTGTTTGAGTTAAAGGAAGTGAGAATCTTCCTTTTAGCTCTGAGTGGGAGTGGATGGGAGCCTGAATTTGAAACACTGAATCTGTTTAGAAAGGATGCTGTAAGGTTTCTGTTTGAGTGAGCACATACACGCTGGGAAGCCTGAGGTGTCCTCATGCAGAAATGAAATTATGCATGTGGGAAAAAAAAGCTTGTATTTTATAAATTAGTCTGTTAGTGCCACTGCATCTAATTTCTGTAGCACACAAATAATTTTGAATTTAATTTTCCTGTTTCAGGACCGAGGCAGTGGAATGTCTCTGTTGCTCCAAAATGTGCATTTGATAAAGATTGTTTGGCTCACAGCTTACTGGGAATGTAAGAACACACTTTTTTTTTTTTCAGCCATGGGTGCTTGCTTTTATACATGGCCCTAAGAGATAGAAACTGCAATTATGATGATTTTTTTTCTCTTCTGGTGCATTTTCCACCAAAGCATCATTAACTCTTTACAAATACATGGCTCATCCTCCCAGTCCTGTGATGAACAATGTATTTCCTATCTAATTCAATTGGTGTACTTATCCTTTGTAAATCCTTCTGTCATTTGAGCAGAATTGTGATGACACAGGGGCTACCTGGCACAGGAGAATTACCTTCCCCTGCCAGGCAGAGATAACTACAATGTGTATTCCTTCCCCCAGGACACCCCAGTCATGCCATGGTTTAGAAAAAGCTGACAAACTGAAAGAATTTTTTTTTTTCTTTTAATTTTTTTTTTTTTTTTTTAATTTTTATCTGCATTCTCTTTCACTTCAGAAGTTTTCCTTGTAAGTTATCAGGTAGTAATTACTGTCTCTTGTTCAGGCGGGGCTGGGAGGGACACACACACACACACAAGTCTTGAAATTCTGCACCCAAAAATCTGGGCAGGCACGTGCTGGAGATTTGCAGTGCTGAGCATCTCGAGCACTAAGCCAGCAGATGTTCACCCTGAAAACCAAGGGAAAGCAAAGGGAATACAGCTGGGTTGGAAAAGGGGCTGAGGAGTGAGAGACCAGAGGGAAATTCCCTTATTCTCAATCCCAGTCTTGTAGAATCTCTCACAGCCACGGTGTTGATTTGCCCCTTTAAACCATGCAAGGAAATGAATTATCAGGTCAGAATTATTACCAGACACCAGCCAGGAGGAGAAATTACCTCTGTGGCAGGAAGAGGGTCCCCTGTGCCTGGAGAACCAGGGGTTTGGGAAGCACAGCTCAGCTGGATGCCCAGGCATTCATGCTTTTGCTTGCTCCTTTCATGGAAGGGGAAAAAAATTTGGCAGCAGCTGGCCACAGGCAGCCTTGGCAAGTCCTCAGAAGCTTGTCTATTACACCTGCTTACGTGTCAAAAATATATTTTTTCCCCTCTGAAGTGCTTTCCTAGATGAACTAATCTGTTAGGACTCCACATCTAGTCACCTGTACCAATAAACAAGATGTATGTGGCCATCTCTGAAGGGTATTTAAAGACCACTGCAGTACCATTTCAAAGGCTACAAACAACTAATTAATTCTCTAATCTAAAATTTTAAAAGGCATTTGCTCACAAATCTGGTTTGGATTGATTTTCTGTCACGCTGGGGTTTCCATTATTCGTGACATAAAAGCACTGCAGAGCTAAGAACATTGCTGTGTGAACATTTGCTGGAAATCAGAGCTCAATTGTGGCTAATCCGAACTTCCCAAACTTTGCCTCTAACAGAAGAAAGGATGAGTGGGATGGCAGCACCCTAAACTCCCAGAAGCAGCAGTGAAAATCATATCACAGTGTCCTTTTCACTGCTGGCAGCTTCCAGCCCTCTGTCTGTATGTGTTTTCCATCTGGCAATCTCCATCCAGGTAGAAGTCCTGAGGGAGTCTGATGGGATTTGGTAGGAAAGAAATCAACCTGGCATTACAGGATATAATGCTCATAATCCATCTCCTGGCACGGGGCTGAGCTGGGGAGTTGAGGCTAAGCCTTTGTGAGCAGATGTCTGGTGTTTTCCCATCAGATCCTCGGGGTAAACCTCCAGCTTAGACACAGGAAAGCACCAGGGTGCTGCTGTCCTGCAGCATATTTCCCATATTTCCCATATTTCATATAAGCAGTGGATAAAAACACACCCTGTGTGGGGCCCTGAAGATTCCAGAGTAGGAAAATGAGTTTATGGGGGCAAAAAAGGAGGGGTTGTGACTTGGGAAATAAAAGGAAAATACATCCTGAGGAAGAAACTGTTGCTGTTTTGTCAGGACACAGAGCAAATATAAAATTAGGGGAAATCTTGACTTCTGAAAGAATAAACAAAGAGTTTGGTTTGGGGGATTGTTTAACCTTTATTTAATTTCAAAGTGTCCATTACAGATTCTCTCTTCAAGACCTGGATGAAGAGCTATGCATTTTGGCTTTTGCCTGCAGGAATAAAGTCCCACAACATGAATACCTCATACTCACAATGGAATTTTTTTTTCTCAGCTTCTTTCCCAAGCCCTCTTTCAGATGATTATCAGTGAATAACTGGCTAAACAATCTGTTACCTACTTTTTCTTTCATCAGCTGGTAAAAATAATCTGCACAGACTACATACAACAGTGCCAGCAGAAGGAAACACTAAATATGGAAAACATCTAAATATAAATTTTACCAAACTGTTGGTTCCTGAGTTCATAGGAGTCATTTCCACTGTTCCTCAGCGGCTCCTTCTCATCCCCCATGTCACTGTCCTTCATCTGTGCAAAATAGGCAGGAGAAGCTTTGCACTCGTAGTGCCTGTCGAGAGATTTCAGGTGGAGGAGCATGTGCAGGGCATAGGCCAGGACCAGCAGCAGAACCAGGGACATCACCAGCCCCATCAGGATTGCTGGGGAGAAGAAGGATGCACAGTCTCTGGCGTAGGCAAAATGTCCTTCTTGCACGTTAAAACCTTGAATCTGCAGGGGGAACAAGAGGGGTCACGTTAAATCAAGCCCTGGTGCTCCATCAGTTTGCTCCTGGTGGCAGTGAGGATTTCTGGTTTCACCTGCACACTGCAAATTTGTGTCTCCCGCTGATGGCTGGAGCTAATGCTCAGAGATTATCCAGGTCAGTCTTCTGAAACTGACAGCTATTCTAATCCCCTCCACTCTGCAGCCCAAAGGATTTGAGGCTGACTTCCAAACAAAACCTCCCACACTCACTCTTGGTGCCCCAGCAATGTTTAATTGCAAGCCTGGTACGTTTCATGTTCACTGTGCATCTCCAGCATCACTTGCTGAGAGTCTCCAGAGTCTCTGCCTCAGACTGCATGAATTTCAACATGACAAACCAGGAAATATTCTCAGGTGCCTGCCCTAGGACAAGATTTTTCTCACCAGTTCCACATGGGGGGTATGTGGCAGCAAACCAGCTGAAGTACAGGAAGCTGCACCCAGCTATGGAAAACACAAAGTTTTACTCGTGGCTTCAGTTCTAATATGGATTTTAGCACTCTGGCATGCAGGGAATTGACTCTCTAAGTCAGTCCACGGACATTTCTCACACGGTGACAAAAGGGGATCAGCTTTTCCCATTCCTTTTTCAGCTCCTCATGCCCTCTGACTCAGGTATCTAAATGCAAGACACTCTAATCCTGCCATCTGAGGCTCCCTCACTGTCAAACAAAGAAGAATTGGCACTTTCAGCAGATTATTAATCTCATCCTAAAATAAGGACTTAAGATGGGTCAGGGGAATTATCCAATGGCTTTAAGAGGCAGGCTGGGGTGACTATAGCCAGGGCACAAGGTTAAAATTCCTAAGCATCAAAAGTGAAGTGAGATGAGCCCCGTGCCTGGGTGTGTGGTGCTGTTACTGGTGAGAGCTCAGCTCAGAACAGTCTGAGACAGGAAATTAGACTCGCTTGCCACTAGAGGGAACACAAGCAGAAAGACTACACAGAACAGCCATTAATGAGGGCAGGAAAAGACTTAGTTTCTATTTCGTGCTCCATGTGATGCCTTAGGATTTCGGTTTTTATATTTTCCATACATTTGTAACCCTGCAGTTGTTTGGTGTGTGACTCTAAACTCCACAGCCAGTGTGAGCTGCTGCTCTCCCATTTTGGGCACACACAACAATTCCTCTCCAGGCTGGCAATCAAGGACCCCTCACTGCCCCAGGCCTGAGAGATGGAAACAAAAGGGATTGGGGCAGCAAACTGGGGGTAAATGACTTCATTACCTGGAGCTGGAATTGGGAGATTAACCCCAGTATGGAAATGGACCAGACTTATCAAAGTGTGAAAAACAGTGACCCGTGGTCCAGTTTGGGTGCAGCCCCTGGATGGGCTAAACGTACCTGAAGGCCCTTCAATAAATAGAACTGATTTTTGCTGTCTAAGTGTTGTCTGGCCTCTGTTTTTAGGTAGCCCCAGAAGGCATCACAGGTAAGGCACAAATGTAAAATGAGCACGGAAGGCGACAAACAGAAAGGCAAAACCTCCCCTCCACCCATCCACGGGAATCCAGCAGGCTGAAACGCATGGCATCACCTGGAAGTCGATGAAGGTGACCTCCCAGAGGTGGGAGAGGTCGTCTGCAGAGCTGGGGACCAGCAGAGCATCGTGTCTGTGCAGGCTGCTGAGGTGGTGGCAGCGGAAGGAGGAGGTGGCGGGCGCGCCCATCCCCGGGGCGCTGAAGGTCGCCTGCACCGAGTGGTTGTAGAGCAGCTGCAGCCTCTGCAAGCTGAACCAGCTCTGCACGGACAGCTGGTAGGAGCTGGTGGTCAGCAGGAGCCTGGGAATGCCGTGTGGGAACAGAGAGGAGGCAGGGAATGAGCCAGAGGGTCGCAGCTGTTAAATTCATGCCTTGGGATTCATGCGACTCGCTGGTGTGAGCAGGTTGTATCAGAGTGAGCTCCTGCTCTTTCCATGGAGTCTGGAAAGGGAGGGATAACTTTCCACAGAGGGTGGCAGAGCCCTGGAACAGCTGCCCAGGCAGTGTCCCTCTCTGGAGACATCCCAGCCCCAGCTGGACAGGTTGCTGTGTTCCTGCCTGGGCAGGGGGATGGATCAGAGCATCTCCAGACATCCCTTGTGTGTGAGTGTGCAGCCCAGGC